CCAAAGTGTGTTAAGAAGCTGGGCATCTCACTCCTGTTGAAAGTCAGCAGTTCCGTTTTTGGAAAACCCCACCTATACTTATATGGACCCTAGCTGGGAGACCGTATAAATTCATGGAAGAGGAAACTCTTAACTGTTATCGCTGATGCGCTCTCTGGCTTAGAAGGGTTCCGAGCTACGAATTGTTGGAGGCTGGGAGAGTATCTGGGGAATGGATATGCTTGCTCTGTCTTCAGACATTCCTGGGCATCCACGTGTGACCGCTGTCAGAGACAAGGTTCGGGGCTAAGCAGACCTTATACAGCCACACTCTCATGACCTTGAAGAAAGATGCTCAGATGCCCACTCAGAATTCAAGCTGAAGTGGGCTACGCAGTATATATAATGCCTTCTGTTTGTTTTTGAACAGACACCAGGCTGTCAAAGTCTGCGATGCCTCCTGGTCTCTGACTTTGAATCTTGGGACTCAAACTGCCACCTCAAACTCTCACAACGCTTGCAGTCCTCTTCCCTTTTAGAAGAAGGATAACATCACCTTCCTGCTAGCGTTGCCTTTTTTAACAGTCCCCTTTTATGTAAAATAATACGGGAGTATGCAGAGATCCTGCCCTCTTGTCTAAGTATAGAACTCTAAATAGTATCTAAATCACTAGATTACATTAATAGTCAAATTAATTTTAGAATTAACTTTTATTACACTGTGACTCTTAATTAACCACCAGGACCAGCAACACGATGTGAGTTTACCTGTCAGTACTCCTAAAGATAACGGAGGTCAGACTGAAGACAAAAAAAAGGATAAAAGTGGGGATCAAGAAGAAAAGAGCTGAAAATACAAGAATAGAACAAGACACAGAAAAACAAGCAACAAATATTCCTCAATAAGCCATTACAATTGGCCATAGCTAGACAACCGTTTCAAAACTCTCCATCAGATATCTGTTGTAGAAGAAAAAAGCTATTTAATGCGCTTGGGCAGCCTACTGTTTTAAATGGTAGAGTGTTTGAATCTTCCTGCCTCCAGTTGTGTCACAGTATTTTGCCACGGTTTCTTTTCCTTATAGACTCTATCGTGGTTAATTTGCTAAAATGCATAAGAGGAAATCAAAATCTTTTCAAAAGGTGACAAATCCAGAAAATCCAACTTTCAGTCTGAGGTGCATAAAGCAATATTCAGACACTGGTTGCTGGATTTTGCATTGATTGCTATTGGGAAATTACAGTTTCAAAGGCCAAGAGAAAATGCTGCAAAACGCTGGCTGTTCCTTTAAATTTTTTTCATCAACTTTCAAAAGTCCTGTAAGAAGTAATTAGATAAACTTTCTGATTATCTGAAAATCAGGAATAGTGGTGAGAATTTTTTACTGGTTGAGTGAACTGCATTCGCTATAAGAAAGCTGAAGCTTACATACCGCATCTTGTTTCTTTACTGAAGTAAGGAATTCAGAGTAAAGAGCATATGTTTATAAACAAGTCAAAATAAAACCAACCGTAATACTGTCAAAGACGTAATTTTTAGAAACATGGCATTGCCAGCACGCTATCGTTTCTGACTGTCTTTGAGCAGTATAGCTTCCTAATGCTGCTTTTTCCTTTTCTGCTACCCATTCTCATTTTCACCACTCTGATCACCTCTTGTAACGCCACCAGCTTTGTTCTAGGGCAACGCTACAGGTATTACTGAAACCAGAATAAATTGCAAGCAATTGAATCGGTCTTAGTGTAACACCTAAAGTCTACTTGAGGGGATTCTTAAGCAAGTAGGCTTTGCTGCTGCTGTTATTGTACGCATGCGATTGCAGGTGTGGTAATTTTTTCAGCCTGAAGAGGGCCGGAAACATTGACAGATACACAGAAAATGCATTTACAGCATTTTGACGGGCTTTTAAAATTTCTCTGAACTGATACGGTCTTTAAGAGGAAAAGAGAAAGAACCTGATTACTGTTAAGAACGAACCTGCTTACTGATAAAGCAATACAGTTGCAGGTCGTTTCCAGTATGGGCAGCGCTTTGTCAACAGTATATCGTAAATAGTTTAAATATTCGCTGTACCTGCGAACAGACTGTAGTGCTCTTACCCGGCTTATTAATATATCTACGTAGCTGCCATAGTGATGTTTCAGGTGATTCTTAAACCCTAAGTAAAATAAAGCGTGATAATTGTATCCCTTGGTTAAATTAAAGCCATGATATCCGTTCCTAAGACTTGCAATAATCAGATATGC